AGTTATGATTTGTACTATATCTAAATACTTGTAATCAATAACAACATGCAAAACCCAATACATGAATGCAAAAGCAAATATTATCTGGTTATTTGTAACAGAATCTACCACATCCTGAAGGACACACAAGAGAGACAACTAAATGTCAGGGTGACAAACAGCATCTCCCAGGATGCATCAACCCCCAGGTGATAAATCAATCCCAACTCCGCTGCTCATGTGGGCATCTCTCCCCAGGGAAGGGCTCACAGCCCCCAGCCTGACAGAGTTCAGGGTGTTCTGTGTCAGGCTCAGAGCTGGGACACCATGCATCATATTTACGGCATAAAGTGAAGCACTCGGAGTTTTACCTCAACAAGACAAGGAGTTTCTCTCCACTGAGCGTGGCAGAGCACTGGAACAGCTGCCCAGGGAGGGCATGGAGCTTTCCTCTCCGGACACATTCCAAAGCCACCTGGGTGTGTACCCGTGTCACCTGCTGCTGGCAGGGCTGTTGGACTGGGTAATCTCCTGAGGTCCCTACCAGCCCTGACAGTTCTGTGATTCTGTCATCCTTGTAGGGCCTTTCCAACTCAGAACATTCTGCAGCTCACGGTGCTGAGTAGCTGAACCAGCCATTTGGCACACATCACTCCTTGTATGCTCAAAAAGGATGGAGTGGTTTGGTTCTTCAGTTTGGAATCTACATAGTCTGCATAACACTAGAAAACAATTCCAGATTTTGGTTTTGGGCTCAGAGTCACAAAGCAGACCATGATTGACAGGCACTGGTTTACATTGGGTCAGATTTGTAACAACTAATAATTTCCTGACCCATCAGTAAAGACACAGCAGCACACAGTGGTGGGAACCTGGCACAGGAGTAATTTGGTCTAAAACTGAGTCCATTTTGTTTGAGCTATTGGGAAAACTTGCTGCCTTACGTCAGTCACGCTCCTGCTAATGTCACTGTGATTCCACTGTAAGATGAACCAGCCATATTGTCTTCTTCCCCTGTGAAATTTATTTCATTTGTGGCATAAGCCACTGTGTCTTCCAATTTAAAGGAAAAATTATTCCCATGTTGTTACCTCCTTTCATTGTGATCTGAAAAAAATAAAGAATATGAAGATTACCATAAATACAATACATAATTAAAAGATTAATCCATCTAAGCCTGAAGAACGGTATTTTATTTCTGGTTTCTAGAAATTTATGCAACTTGGTTCTAATTTGCATCCAGCAGTAGATTTAGAACTAGCTGAAGCTAGAATTATGAGCTAACACAAGTCAGTACTGTCTACAATATTTAATTTAAAAAATCCTAAGTAATCACAGAAATATCAGGCTTAACATAATTTGAACTTCTTGACTTTTTTCCACCTCCTGTGCTACACCTTAAAAATAAAGATTGTTACTCTAGTTTGTATGAACATTGATTGCTTTATGAGTAGTTGAATAAATAACAAGTGAGTAGTCCAAAAGCTCACTGAGCTTTACTAACATCGTATTTCACTATGGTGTGCATGCATCTTCCACAGTTAAAATAAGCCCAGTTTAATACTTTCCTGTTCCTCTTCCCAAGCAAAAACCAAGCCATACATTTCTGCCAAGTGAGAAAGTCAAGTATGAACCTATAAAAACACAGCCAAAGAGCTGCTGCTTCCATCCAAATTGGAACCAGCAGCAGTCTCCAGATCCTTCCTTCTCTGTCACAAACCAGCTGTAGAGTTGCAACTCCTACTCACCTGTGTACTTCTTTTGTATTTGACTAATACAGGCAAGGACATTAATTTCATCTTATTCATCTCCCCAGATACATGTTTTCATACTTGTGATAAAACAACATTTTCAAGCTTTAGCCCTCTGAAAAAGATTCTTGAAATTAGGAATGCTTAGCCTGAGAAAAACCAAAAAGAGCTCAGGGAACCTTATCATTCTCTACTGCTACATGAGAAGAGATTACAGTTGGGGACAGGAGGTGGAGCTCATCTCTTCTCCCCCCACAAACAATAAAACAAA